AAAGAAAGCCCCTAAGTGGGTGGGGGGGGGGTAAATGGAGGATGAAAACAAGGTGGCCAAAGGGCTCAGGGAGACAGGGAGGCACCGTGGGGAGGCAGGCGTCGATGGTAGTGATGCTGTTTGAACTTCGTCTCCTCACCGAACATTATTCACTGTGCTGCGAGAGCATCCATAAACATGAGGAGAGAGAGAAGGGGGCGACTCAAAAAGAGAGAGAGTGAGACACTTTGTCGCGACATTAAACCTGCTGCAGACAGTGCGTCTAACCTGCTGATTGGTCAGTTTGACCCCAGGACACCAGAGAATAAATCATCTCTACAGTCCAGCTGATAAAAGAAAAAAACTGGAAGCGCCAGATCCCAGCTGACACTGAGCGAGAGGCGGGGTCCACCTTGGACAGGTCACCGGTCTATCACAGGGCTGACACTTAGAGGCGCCCACACTCACTCCTATGGGCATTTTAGAGTCCTAATGATTCATTTAGTTAACCATGTTTACTCAGTTGAAACATGCCACCAGCATGGAGCTGGAACTCTAGACTCCTGTGGAGTTTTCTCAAACAAGCAAACAAAAGTTGCTTATTTTCAGTGTTTCTCACATTTAGAGCAGATATATATGACTTGGGACGTCCTGGATCCTCAGTCGACCAAACTGACTTCAAGGTCACATGAGGATCGAGGACCAAGGGGTGATCACCCCCCCACCAACCAAGCACACAACACTTTTATTGAGCCTCCAGTTCTTCACCCAACTCCAGATTCTGATGCTCATGATTCACCATCAAACACTGATCTGATATGAATCGATGTTTAGCCGTTAGACTGTCAAACAGCTGTGAAGTGATCAGCTGATCACTGATCTCTACTCTGACTACAGAAAAGTTACAGTGATGGTTCACTTCACTGACAAACAGCTGCAGAGAGCACATGGACTTTACTGAACTAGTGTTAGTGACCTACATGACATATGGTTTGTGTTGCTGCTGGACTGGATCAATGGATGTTTATATCGCTGCATTATTATATTATTGTCCAGCCTGTTTATATCAGTGAGGGTAGGCTGAATAGCAGAACCAGCTCAGGACTAACTGTGATGAGCGCTTTGAAATGATGCATCAGTGGAGACCCTCTTTTAAACAACCATGTAGGGTTATAAATCCTGATGGTGACATCTTTAACAGCTTTTCCCTGAGGCTCATCCTGTGACAGGCTGCGTCTGTTCCACTCTGCTGCTTCAGGACAGTTTTTCTCTAGCAGCGTGACGAGCAGATTAGCTGCTGGAAGGTGAACCATTTGGTCTGTCTTCAGGAAGACACTCTGTAGCAGGAAACATGACACAGGCAGTGGGAGGATCATGGATGATGGATGCCTTGATTTGGTCATGAATATATAATTCCAACCTCTTTTCCTGGTTGTTTACCTAGGCCTGGTGACACATTGTTTATTTACAGCAGCAGACTGACAGCACAGACACTCAGCCAGGAGACAAAACAGCAGCACAACCTGCTGTGAGGAGATAAGACCACAGAGACGCATCACAGCCGCAACCGACGGCCACCTTCACTACTGCCCGTTATTTTTACTTTAAAAAACTGAAATAATCAAATATCAAAACAGTGGCTGCTAATTATCTGTCAATCAACTATTCAATTAACTCTTTGTTTCTGCTCTACATGAATATTGACACAGTCTCTAAAAGCTCTGTGTATCAGCTAACCGCCCCCCGTTCAGTGGATCAGGGATCAGGATAACCCATGTAATTAAAACACAGGGAGCTGTGTGGGTTTCAGTCCTAATGTCACAGCAGGAGTTTCACCGTTTGCCTGTTTAAATATTCATCTGCTGCAGGCCAGAACGCAGCAGCAGCTTCCTGGAGCCACGATGCCATTGGTAAGCGCAGATTCTGGTTGTGTTCGTTCAGACTGTCACGGAATGACATGAATGTGTGTTTAAACAAATGAAGTCAGGACAATCATGACTCCCTTCTACAGGCTGCAGTGTTTAGCTCAGGCACAGCATGCAGGTGATCAGGACATTTCATGGTGATCTGACCAGAAGCTGTAGAGATGTTTGGCTCTGAAGTGAAGCAGCGCATCACCTGCTGCATGTGACCAATGGAACCGCAACACATTTCCAACACATTTCTTTTTCCTGAGGACAAACTCTCGAGAGTTTGACAACAGATAAGGTTTAAAACAACGCTAAACGGCTTTCTTTCTACAGCTTTTGGACGCATCAACTAGTTAAGGGCAAATGCACCACAGAAGAAGAATCACAAAGACCTGAATACATTGCAGCTACAGAACAGGTTGATGTTTTCAAGAATCATCTGGTCCATCATCGTCCAGGACTTACCTGGCTGCCCGGCAGCGGTTTGGTGCAGCCGACAGGTCGACTGGCTGTGTCCCTGACCTCTGATCCCTGCTGCTGCTGTTGTTCAGTGTTAGTGGCTAGCCCTGCGGCGCTAGCTGAACTCACTCCATGATTGCGATGCAAGCCCAGCAGGCAGCGCCACTGAGCCAGCTCCCTGAGGAGAGGCAGGCAAGAGGCCGGACACAGCATCGGACAAAGGCACACAGCTGACACACAGACACAGACACACAGAGTTAACTTGCAAACTTTTAGTGCTACAGTCTAGAAACCTCAGGCAGCACAAGGTGGGATTAAAGCATACGTACATTTCTGTGCGTCAGATAAGCAAAGCACAGACACACTGATATCACTGGCAGATAAAACACAACATCCAGTGAACGTCTGACAGTAACATAGAGCAGTAGAGTAGGCAGAGCCACGGGGTTGTCGAAGCACGGGGTCACGTGGCTCATTCCAGCATAGCTCTATATCCTATATTTTACTTATTGGCAGCAAGCCCATAACATTCCCTGATCCAGAACAAACTGCAGTACATATCACAGCCCAGCATAGCTCAGCCCTTCCCAGGCCCTGGCAGATTTGTTATATATGGTAGAAGCTCAGCGACCTGTAAACTAGGTTATGCTTTTATATGGCTTGTACTGACTTTAACATGAGACATCTTTCTTTTAATTGAGATCTGCCGACATTCCCAGTTTTTTCCAACCACTCAGTGAAATCAGTGACTGAAAAGTCCAGACTCCAGGAGACATCCCTGCAGTTTAAGATCCTGGATAAAGGCAAGAAAAGACCCAAACAGGGCTGTAGCTCTTGATTCTTTTCATTAGTTGATTAACTGTTTAATCTATAAAATTTCAGAAAATAGTGTAAAATGTCTGAGAAGATGTCTTCTGATTCAATTAACAATAAAATAAAGCAGAAAAATGACAAATCCTCACAAACAAGAAGCTAGAATCAGGAATTAATTGGCATTTGCGTTTGAAAAATCATAGTTTATTGATTATTTGCCAATTATTTTTCTGTCGATTGACCAACTAATTGTTACAGCTCTAGAGCCAAACCTGCACTGGATTAATTAGTCAAACATGCTTTTAATCAAAGAAATGTCTGACAATGGGTTCATGTTTACTGCTAATAAGCTGCACTTTTGCAGGTTTAGGCTACTGAAAAATACCCAAAGTGATATCTTCACACATCTTATTTTTGTTGCATGGTTATTTTCATTTCTGATTAAAACCCAAAAAGCAGCAATAAAATTCAATATGCCCAACATATACAATAAATACAGTCACTCGGTGACCTGGACCAGGAGCGCTGAGCTGCAAACACATCACAACCCAGAGAAGCTTTAATGGAACCAGTTGTTTTGTCTGTCAGTTGAGTTTAAAGGCTGCAGACTTTCATTATCAATTAATCTACTGATCTACTGATACTTGACTGACTGTTTCATCCACAACAACAAAAATGGTGAAAACTGTCCCTCACAGTTCCCTAGAGTCCAAGGTAACCTCTTCAATTGTCTTGTTTTGTTCAGTCAACAGAGATTCTGTCTACAAAGACACAAAACAGAGAAAAGCAGAAGCCAGAGAAGTTTTGACATGCTTGCTTAATAGACAGGCAGTGGTGGCCTGCAGGCTGGAGAGGAAAGCTTGTCACTGATTCAGTCCCCAGACCAGCAGAATGAAATCCGGGTGGCCATGTAACAAAGCAGCATGTGCGCTGACGGTGGTGGTCAGTCTGTGGTTGTGAATGTGAATAGGGCGTTCCCGAGGAGGCCTCTCAGAGAACTTACCCTGAAAATTAAAGGTTAGAATAGTAGGAATTTAGGATAACTTTCCTGCTCATCAATTAACAGACTAATTGTTGCAGCTCTAATTAATAGTGCGACTGGAAATACATTTATTTTCACAAAGTCAGCAGTGGCAGAGCTACATGTTGGTTAGCATGTAGCTCGTTTCTTTAATCTGCAAAATCCTTCAATCACTGTTTCCCCTCCCTAAAAGTCCAAACTCTGAAGTCTAACCAGAATCTCTCAACCCATTTGTCCCTCTGTGTGCATCTCTGTACACAACCCAACAGACAGCAGCCAGTCAGCAGCTGTCCAGACAGACTGCACAGCCATGTGGAGATCATATAACAGAGATTAAACACACCACAGCAGGACAATGGCTGCCAAGTTCGGTTTCTGTAAAACACAAGGAAATCAGATGGTTTGCCTGCATCAGCACCTGGAAATGGATCCTCTGTTCACACTCACATTTTTCACTATTTTAAACAATAAATTTGTGAAATAATGGGCAGATTAATCAGTGGAGAAGATGAACAGCTACAGCCCAACAGAAAACGGTTGACCAAGCAAATCAGGCGTGTGAGCTTATGTTTCATTTTATTTACCATAAAGATCCAGTTATTTTAATAAATAACTCAGTCATTTACAGCTGAATACAAAGTTAATATTTTGTTTTTTTTGAAGTGAAAAGAAGTAAATTAGCCCCTGCAGTAAACACGTATTAAACACAAAAATGTGAGTGGACCTTTTATTAACTTACAAATGGAAAAAGGTCAGTAAAACTCTGGGCCCCTGCTAAACTCTTACTTGCCAACTGTCTGGCTTGGGGCTAGAAATCTATGGAGATAACCATATAAATCTTCTATATCAGCACATTCTGGATGCTGATGTCGAGCTCTCAGTCAGGGAGGTGAAAGTCAGACAAGGCCAAGTTAACTACTCCAAGAAACCCCAGCTGAAGCCCCGGACCTGGACACCACTGAGAATCTGGGAGGAGATGATAAACAGCTGCACGGCAGAACCTGACGTGATCTGCAGGAGGACAGGGTGAAGAGCAAGACTTCGACCTGCTACATAAAAGTGTTTGCAAGCTGATATCTGCCACAGGAGGAGGGCTAGTGACTTAGTCGGGTGCCCAAACTTTTGCACACGACACATTTAGTTTCATTTGTTCAATGTTTAAGTTTCTGAAATAAAAAATTACAACACATTATTATTTAGCAAAAGGTTCATTGTTAGTGTCGGTTTGCTGCAGTCGTTTCCTTCTTTCACCTAAATTAAATAATTCTCTCACTAATAAAATGTGATTTGTATATGACTGAATCACCAGATAACAAAATATGAAACATTAAACATGGCCGCAGTTTATCTCCAAACTGTTCTGACACCTGACAGACCAGATGACTCACCAGAGCAATAACCAGTGGATAATAGCACAGGAACTCACATCCTCACACAGACACAAACACACGTACCAGCTCCTGATGGTGGATCTAAACACATGCAGCAATGATGCAGCTGAACCTCGCTCACCCGCGCGCACTTCTGCTGCAGCAGCAGGAGGAGGAAAAATGTTTTCTTCTTCTTCTGTGTTGGCAAAAACAAAGCACCAAACACACACACACACACACACTCAGAGCCAAAACCCAGATGCTGACACACAAACACGCCGTCAGCTGTGGCGTCCGTCCGAAAAGCTGTGAGAGCCAGCAGCACACACCGAGCTCAAATCATCTCACCCTCTAGCTCTCAGTAAATGTCTCTCGACCTCCAACTGACTGCACAGTGCTGTACTGAGACACTGCAGCCACATATACACAATGGGGGCGGGGAGATGGAAAGCTGAGAGACAGAGAATAAAAGAGGAGTATCACTTAGCCGAGAACACCCCCCCCCTTCCCACCAGCATCTGTCGATACCAAATACACACATGTATGTACGCACACACATATACACACTCACTGTGGGACACAGTGATCTCTGCTTTCATGCATTTCTTCTCTTTCAACTCTACAGTGTGTGTTTATAGCACATGTTGTATTTGCATGCAATGTGTGTGCAAGTCCTTCTGTTTTTGTGTGGAGAGATTTTACGTCACTGCCACTGTGAGGACATTTTGGGCAGCTTGCCTACATTTGGCCACTTTGGCACAGAAATAAGGAAAACAGACCTTGAGTCAGAGGATCAGGAGGAGAAAGAGCAGCTCTGAGTAACATCCATGAAAAACACTAATTCAATTACAGAGTGATGGAGAGTTTAGTGAGCACCCAGGAGGAGCAGATTCATCATATTAATGATCACACACAGCAGGGGGTGAAGAGACAGAGGGTGAAGGAGGGTGGAGGACAAGCCGCCTCAGCAGATATGATGGCGACTGTAGGGCTGAAATCAATACCGATATTCTATAGAGATATCACAATACTGCAAACATATGTACAGTTACAAAAGCATCAAACTGATATTAAATAGAACCGTGTTCACAGGGGCTTCTACAGCGTCACCTGAAATAAAGACCACCACTGACACTGAACCCTTCAGCGGAAGAACACCTTTAGTTTTTAGCCCAAGAACAAGGTGACCGTTATAGCTCGCGATCTTTCATTCAGCCTGGTGTATATATGCATTCTCATTTATTAATCCTATATATTAAACCTCCTCTACCTACTGTCTTTTCAGCCCAGAGGCTCCGGTGAGACTCAAAACAAACTGACACCATCAGCTATTCCTTCCTGCTCTTAGCCCGTCCCATCACATGTTTCCCAGCAACATGAACTATTTGTTAGCTGGCTAACAGTAAATGTGTAAGTCCAGTAGAACGCTCTGGTTTCTGCTGATGTGACACAAAGCTCCAGTTAGTCCCAAATTCAAATCATATCAACACAAAGGTAAAATCCTGACCATGCTAGGTGGCTAATGCTGCCAAAACAAACAGGTTAGCTTTAGATGCTAACACATCCAGAAGGAAGAACACCACATCTGAATCCAGTCTGAGTCCTCTGGCTGCTTTTAACCCTCTCCATGTCAAATAGCCAAACGCATGTTAACCCTGGTTGTTGCTCTTTCTTTGTCCCACTCTCTCTGTGGAAAAGACACCACCTCTTCACTCTGGCAGCCACTGGTTAAGACTTTCAGCTGCCCAGAGCTCCTGCATGGCTGTTTGACATGACTACTGGCGGCTGGAAGAACACTTCTTCAAATATGCTGTATGTCTGAAACAATCTACAGTTTGTCTAGAGACAAGCTGACCCCTTTATTGAAAAAAAAAAGGAGAAATGAGCGAAAGATTAATTAGAAAACTCAAATATCTCCATCAGCCTCAAAAACTATTGCTATCAAAAACTACTGGCAGTTTTTTGAAAATCTGCACAACTACATTTTACACCCTATGTTTGGCAGCAATGAATGACAATTCTTGATTATCAATAAATCTGCTGACTATTTTCTCAACTCACTGATTTAACATGATCACAGACATAACCCCAAAAACAGCAGAGCAGTGACAAAGTAAGTAAAGCACTGGCTTGCAAAACGCTCCCAGCTGCAGGTACAGGAGATGGATGCATGAATGCAGATGAGATTAAAAGGGTTTGAAATGTAAATGAAGAGAAGAGTAGCTGATGTTCAGGACTGTAATTTCATTTGTGGGTAGCTGTACATCACCCCGGTTGCGATGCTCTTCAGATCATCAGAGATCCTGTTTGTCTCACTCAAAATGAACTGAGGAAGACATAACAATTAGTTATAATTACACAACTATACAAGTCTGACATTTTATTATAGAGCTGCCGTCGAAATAAATCACATGGTAAAAGATGTGGATGTGCAGCAGCTGAAACAGTTTGAGGAAACAGGAGTAAGGTTTGAGATCACGTGACTGCCACCCAGACCCCACGGGCTTGAACTGGTCTCTGTGGAAGCCACAGCTCCAGCCATGACCTGGGTGTGTGACTTTGTTTTTAGGGTACACAGACAACCGTTTCTCGGCTGTTACTGTTGTGGGTAATAAAGTAAAGAACATGGTTGGACTGTCCCTTCGTGCATCACAAAGTTTCTTGTGACAAGAGTTTCTGACAGACTCCTTTTAAACTTAGACACGAACTCGCCTTTGTTTTGTTCTTCGTGCCTCGGTGACGTCACGCGACACGTACGCACATCTCGGTTACAAGTTGTGAGATGAGGAAGTGGTGCTACAACCGGGCTGAAGTTAGCTTGTGTTAAAGTCGGCTAGCAGATATGTCTTACCTTGCAGGGGAACGGCAGAGTGGAGGCTACCTTCTCCATGGCCAGGTTCCGGATACTTGGGGTTAGCGGGCCTCGACAGGTCGGACAGCAGCTCACCTTCTGTCGGCACGGGTTGCACACCAGGTGACCCGCCTGACACTGAAGGATGGGTGGTAGGACGTAGTCGAAGCATACCGGACACTCGAACAGCGCCGTGAGCTCCGAGGACTGGCCGGGCATGCCGACGGAGGACAGGGACACCGTGGGGGAAGAAGCAGCAGCCGAGCTCACCCCGGCAGCTGCGGCCGCTACTGCAGCGTAACCTCCCGATCCCCCGTGCTTTCCGCCAGCTTTCCCGGCCCCGAGTCCTCCAGCTCCGATAGAGGACGGACGACTCATGGCTTCCAATTGCGACGCCTTCCGTATGATCTCCCGAGCTGGCGTTAACACCTACTGTTTACTCCCGAACGTCGGTCCAAACCCCCGCAGACACAATATGGCGGCTGTCAGTTTGTATCACCTGCCACCTACTGTCATTGGCTCCTATATCATAGATTGCCAGGGCGCTGAGCCAATCATCGAGCAGAGTCTTGATATGACGTAATGATTGCAGGCAAAGTGAAAAAGAGGCTAAATACATAAACAGTTTCTCAGAATGTTATATACAGACAGAGTGAACGTTGCATTTCACTGATTAGCAGCAAATGCACATTTCTGAAAGGGGAAACATGCTTTTACAACAGAGCAGTGATCCACAGCAGGTCAAGAAACACAAGCTGAAGCTTTTGGAACAGTGTCTTAAAACTGTTGTTATCGAGTGTGCAGCAGTGTAACAAAGCTCCACCTGAAGCAGCTACGACATGAAAAAGCTGTTACATTTAAATAATTTACAATTTTCAGTTGGACCATTTACCTGAGCAGAATCTTACTAAAGTTGTGTCTATTTTTACATTTAAATACTGAGACTGCAGCGGAGCTTGAACCACAGAAGACCTGCAGAGGGTGCTACAAGAAAACACACTGAACACTGTGCCTGAGACATTTTCTCTTCTTTCTCCTTGTTCCCTCATATTTGCTCTGACAGAGGCTCTGCTCTCAGTGCAGCTCACACAGACATGAAGGCTTCACACACTTCCACTGCTGCAGAAGGCATATAAAGTAACCTATCCTTAAAAAGGCCCAGTCGTATCTATGGGCAGCTTCACTGGCTGCACATGATGATCCTGTCTCTGCCTCAGCAAGAAGTGAAATGATGCAAACCTTAGGTAAAAATGGGAAAGGGAGGCTTCAAGCAACAAGCCTGTTAAAACAGTGAGTTACTGTGTTTGCTTATATGTTCTCAGAATGAATCAGCTGGACACATCAGCCTGTTTGGGGGCTCAAGGTGATGACATGTTTCATGCCAAATGTCTGAAACCAGCCAGTGCATCCCTGCATGAATGTCACACCATCTGCCTGGTGAGCTCAGCCTGTGGTATAGGGAGGATGAGATCATGGACCACGTGAGAGAAACAGAATTGGTAAACCAGTAAAATTGGATTTTGACACAGGAGCCAACAGAGCAAACAATAAACATCAGAAAACCTGACGGTGAAAAATGTAAAACCCATTTTTCCCGATTTTGACACAGGAGCCAACAGAGCAAGCAATCAACATCAGAAAACTTGATGGTGAAAAATGTAAAACCCATTTTTCCCCATCATGTTTGAAAGGTTAAAGGATCAACTGGCAAGCAAACAAAAATACTTCTGATTCTCAGACGCAAACAAGCACAGTATTCTGTAAAAAAATCATTATTTCATGCTAATGTAAGTCTGTTTTGCAGGACAAATGAAATAAAAAGCTGCAACTTACATCTTGTCTCTGGAAAACTGCAGTAGTAAACATTTAAGACAAATACAAACAATGTTCTTCTCATTAATGATGTTTGACTTCATCAGAGCACGAGTGTGTTTGAGATGTGTGTCTGTGTGCTACCTCCTGGTCCTCCACACTCACCAGGTCACAGAAGCCCTGTACATCTAAGGCTGCTGCACTGATAACCAACCTTCTGAGAAGTCATAAAAGACGCTGTGTATCCAGTCTTATCGCTTACTCAGCAGACAAAACCCTCAGAAGAGGAGCCGCTGCAGGTTTCCAGGTGATTAATGTTTCCAAAAGACTTTAAATTAAAGACGACAAGGGGAGTGAGTGGAGTCGGCTGATCAACCTGTTGACTCACATCGTGTCAAACAACAGCCGCTGTGTGCTTTACATGATGAGATAGGCTGAGCAAATGAAAGAGCACTTGTGAAAGAGCTGAAGTTACAAATTGCTTCAAAATTAATGCTTTTCATTATATCATGGATTTAAATCAGATCTTTGTAGGTGCTCATTCTGTGCTGTCTTCCAAAGCTGGGGGGGACAGTTAACTCACCTCCCCAGGATCCTGACAAAGGGAGGGTCCTGCAAAATAACATGGTGTTATCTACAATTTTTACCTTTCACATCATTAGTATCAGTAGTAAACTATTACTCTTATAGAGTAACAGAGGCCAGCCCTGCTTTGTGTATTTGTATTGTGCCTTTGGTTTAGTGTTGACTGAGCTGCAAGAAAAAAAGTTTTTATTTGAATGAATCAATGTAAATTGTTAAATTCCTGAAATTGATCTTTGCATTTGCACCTTTTCTCAGTAAATGTCAAGAGATGCCTGCACAGGTTACTTGTTATTAGTGGCTCAGGTTGGATTGTGTGCTGTGGAAACTGTAGAATCAAGCTGCTATTACAACATGCACAAAAATGTGAATTTAAGTTTTAAAGTCAGTCAGAGCTAGTTTTTCAGTGGCCATATTAGCTGTCTTCAGTCACAGTGGTCCGTAAACTGTGACATGAATACTTAGTCTGTGTCGATCAAGGATCAACGGTCCATTGAGAGTTGCAGTCAACAGTTTTACACACATCTCCGCTATCATTGTGGTCTATGGAAAACTGGGGAAGACTAGCTGAATGTCTGAGTGGCGACGCCATCTCCAGGTTTCAGTAACAGATCTGTGATGTGGATGCTTTGCATTTTATTGTCAGTTGTGAAAGAGCCAGCAGCAGAAAAGATCTGTGTACTTTTCCACCACAGCCTGGTGAATTGCACTGTGAAAGATGTTTATTTTATCCACCCCAAATGACATAAATGAGGTGGACAAAATATTAGAAACACTTCTGCAGCCTCTAATTTGGCGACTGACTCTTTATTATAACTGTAATTATAGTTTAACACCATTTACTGTTGTGGAAGTATTAATGTGAAACACACTAGTGATCAGTGCTGTCAAGTCAAGTGCTGGGAATGTGGGGAGTGATGTTTACCCTCATTAGCTCCATCAGAACAGCCCATCCCTGTGCACAGTGTCACACATTCATTGATTTATGTATTTTTTCTATATATGATTAGCTCGGCCACTCACACACAATCTGGGTGTCACTGTTTGCCTTGTAATACTCTCATGATGTGACCTTTCACATGTGTGAACATTGGTGACACTTTAACAACATATTACTTCACTCTGTGTTAAAACACATGGGGGTCAAAGGTCACGACCCACAGTCGACCCAGGAGGACTCCCACCCGTGAGCCGCCACATGCTAAA